TCTTGATGGCGTCCATCTATATCTAAGGAATATCTTAACCTCCGTTTGCGGTACCCAACATAGCAGCAGTAAGGACTTTTCGCGATGCCACCCGATCGCGCAAGACCCCCTGTAGGGCCTCGTAAGTGCGGGTTATACCCGTGTCATTTTTGGGGGTGTGCCGGCGATTCGCGTGTCCCCCTTACTGCTGCTACAGAAATAGAGCAGCTAGTAGCTATAAGATATTTTTAAAATCTTTTTTTAACGTTAACTTGAAAGGTTGTCAACATACCAAACTCAAGAATCCTGACAGATAGCGATGCAAAGGGAGATGAAATGTCACCTCACTACGCCTTGGCTGAAGAGAATAATTGCAATTATAACATGATTAATGTTAGATATGAATTTAAACATGATAATGATAATGTCATTAATATATGCCATGACTTACCATAATGGCAGAGCTGCTACTGTACCAAGACTTCAATGAATCAGTGATATTTGTGATCATGTTTCTCGCATAAGCAGGAGAATTCTATAATCAAAAAACATTATATAAAAAATATATTACACAAGTTAAGTATAACTGTATGTCACTTCATATTAAATTAACAAAGTAATTGTGGTTAAACGGCAGAGGGATGAAGCAAAGAGTAATTTCTTATTCTTTTGAGGGAGGAGCGGAGGGGGGTGGGGTGAATATAATATATTATTCTTAAAAGTATTTCCTTGCGGAAGAAAAAATAAATAGATGTGCTAGTCTGCAAAAAAGGATGAAACCAAACTCTAGGTTAAATTCCAATTACAGTAATTAACTCACAAGAATTTTGCATGCATTTATCAAGCTCCACAGAGGCGACAACGCAGCTTCCAACTCCACAGAAAATGAGGTGTAGTAGACTGTTGGCTCAAACTCAATATGAGTAATAAGCTTCCTATGGCTTATATTCATCCCTGCATAAAAACAATTATTATTATAATTATACAGCTTCTCATTAATCCCATATAGGTGACTGCCCAATTATTTTCTTAATTGGACAGGTCTTTTCGATATGGGATTAATTAGGCAGCTATATAATTAATAGGTAATGGGATTTCATGCTCCCCAATCAAGAAATAATTAGACTCATAAATACCTCTGACTGCCAAATTGGACTCGACCTATACGGCCCCATCCAATTTTATCAGTTCTCGGAATTTCCCTCCTTCAATTATTTCTTAATTGGGCAGCATGCAGTCCTATTACATATACTTATTTATTTATTACTGTATCACTATGTTCATAACTACATGCTGGAAGCCAGTTCAATTCACATTGCAAACATGGCATTTGCTGCCGTCAATCAAACTGTTCTGAAGTTATTTTTAAGTGAAGTATTTTAAAGGAAACTAGAAAAAGATTAGTCTAATTCATATATAAATTTGAGCCACCCTGATTCTTCTGCTTAGTTATTTTTTAGTTTTGATGATCTGAATTTCCTAGAATCGAAAAATACTTGTTCATATATTTTGATGGACTTAGTTTTGAAGTTATGTGAGACTGAATCAATTCTCACGTGCACAGAACAGTCTTCAAACGGCTACGTCCTATGTTAAATAAGAGTCAAGTCATTCTTGGATTCTAAGATATATAAATTATAAGAACTAGCCCAGAAACAATAAAGCAGTTGTACTTCAATCTCAACTTTCTAAATRAAAATTTCTTAAAGTTTCCAATTAAACGTCCCACTTAAATCTGTACAGTTTGATTGACGGAAGAGAATTGCCAAATTTCCAATGCAATTTGAGGTGGCGCCAGCGCGTAGTTACGTATGAACATAGTGGCAATTTAACCCTTTAAACACAATGCCCAAAAGGAAAGCAACCATACAAAGGGTTCAATCTTTGTTATTCATTTATAAATTCTTCTATTTCAATACTGTGTATTTCTCAGTTCCGAACAGTCATTAATTTCTTCATCATAATCTATTCAGTTGGGCATACAAATTGGGGATGCAAGCTCCAAGGAGATCAAGAGAACAAAATAATAAAGCTAACCTGTAAGGTACTGGATAAACTTTATCCACTGTCGTATCAAGTCATGGTCCTTCAAGAATACCTCTGCTACACTCTTGTGCGACAAGATGTTGATGAAGTCACTCACAATTGGCCAGTAGCAATGCTCGCTGAGTGCCCTGTTATCACAGTTCACCACAACTTGAGGGGAAATCACTTGACCTGATGATGCAAAAGATGGAATCAATTTTTCATATTTTTTTTGAACCCAGAAACAACCCCAGTTGGTCAAATCTATATGCCAGGAAAATGAAGGGTTGTGTCATGCACTTGGCTATCAGCATTGAGGTGTCAGATTTTATAATATGTAGAGATTATCACATGTTAAGAGCTGAGATATTGTTTTTATTCAGACATACCTTTTTCGTGTCATATCGCAAACAAGCAAGTCCTCGAGTGAGATACTTTGATACGAAAGATGAGTGGATGAGGATAATATCAGGCTCTTGACGTGTGATTATTAATTTGTTTATTATACATTCAGGATCGATTTTGATTGGTCAAAACTAAAATATGTCACAAGATCTTATTGGACAGTTTTACCATGAAATGATATCTTATCACTTCAATGATATGGTTTTTATTAACAGCTTTATTTCACGGATATCGACCCTAAGAGTGTAGTAAATTTTACTTCAATCAAAGAGTGAGGAACAAGGAGTGATTGGTAAGTTGCCTAGCCAGAAGGTCATGACTAAAGCACTCAATGACAATTCAAAATATCTGGCATTGAGAAATTGCTTTTCGTGGTGGAAGGAAAACTGGAAAACCCAGACAAAAACCCTTTAAGCACAGGAAAGTCACAAGTAGTTTAGGAGTTAAACCAGCTTAGTACTTGTTGTGAGAGTTGAGCATTGATGAACGGCTACAGCTACCTAATTAACTGCAGCTAGTAAATCCTAGTGACTGTTAAGAAGACCGTTAATAAGAGTTACTGTACCTCTTTTGAATGGTTGTAATGAAGGTTTGATCATGTCATGTAACACTTTCACCATAACATGCAGTAAATTCTGTTCACGAACCATTTTCTCGGCCAGATGTTTATTGCTATAAAGTTGAACACTAACATGAACCACTCTGTTAGCAAGTTGCTCTACGCTGGGTCCACCTTGGGTTGTAGACACTAATGTTTTGGCAATTTTTTGGTAATGCTGGCAAAATACCCTCGTAAAGCATTCCTGACATGAAACAAATGAGATGAAATTTAATACATACAGAAAAGAAAGACCAACCACAAAACTCTATATATTTTCCATCATTTTTTTTTTTGTTTTGCTCCCAGGCAAGATGCAGGCTGCCATATTACCGATTCAAGTAGTCCATTATAAAACGCTAAGGGATTGGTTGAACACTTAGAAGCATTGAGAAGCATTTGCATTTGCCACATGATGCTTCACCAAACACCTCTGTCGCGTTCTGCCAATCGCTGCATTTTTTCATAAATACAGTAACACACAGCATATGCCATTTGTATACAGTGCGTACTCTATTTTGGGACATTATTTTAAGCCAGTTTTTTCGCATGATCCCATTCACCACTTCCATGGATTTTTTTCTGTGGGACGGGAGCACCATCCAAGATTTTCATTTTAGGAAGGAGTGCTTTGCTTACAAACTCAAACACCAATAATGCAGTAGATATCAGCTCATCTGGGGGGGGGGGGAGGTGCTCTCCTCCTGCACTCCTCCCCTAGATCCGCCTCTGTTCTCCCACCCCCTCCTCCTAAATAACCAACTTTTGAAAGACACCCTTTAGTTACAGTAGAAGAAATGCAGTGTACAAACCTTATATTTCTTGCAAGGCAACAAATGTAGTAAAAAAGTAATAAGTTTCTGTGGAAATTCTAATTTAGTAACAAAATCCATCATAAAGTCCACATAAGTTTGGTTCAAATCCTCATCATCACAAGTATCAATAGAGCTGATGCTATCAAAACTGTCTTCTTTCCCAAAGGATGAACTACTCCGTGATCTTGTATTCACTAGTGATGTCTGCCCACTTGAAGCAGCACTTTGTCTTGCCTTATTACCATTTTCCACTTCAGATATTCTCATCATAAAACATTCTGCTACCACATTTTTCAAGGTGTCTGTTTCACATATACTCATAAGGAACTCTGCTAGATTATTTGCATCTTCCATCATTCCCGAGTTCACCCCTGTAATATGACAATAACCAATAAAACATATGTCAATAATTATTTGTACATTATTTTCATGTTCAAAATGAAGATTAATGTAGTGGAATTTAGAGACCAGCAGAAGCATTACTTTTAAACCTGAATATTTTGAAAGCCTTTATTGCAAGGTCAAGCTGAATTTTGTCTTAATGCTTTGATATTTAAGTCTAAAAGTCTGTCTTGGTAAATATTCTTGCCTCATACTCTTGCATTATTGCCTTCAGCAAATAATAATAATATTGTTAAATAATATTGTAATTCAATATAATATTAATAGACATTTAATTCTGGCTTAATGTTTGCCATTCCAAACCATGTGTTAATCCTAGAGTATATAATTTCTTTGTTTAACGATGAATATGAATGATTACAACTCAAACAAAGATTCTCATTCATAAGAGAATGACACCTGATCTGAAATGGGAAACAATATTATACCCAAGCTTTAAGAGATGTATATACTAGGAATAGACCTCTTCGGCTCGGGCATAATGTTTTCCATTTCAGACCACATGTCATTCCATTGAGTATCATTTCTTTGTTTAACAGTTGCTCTCAGTTGCACATGAAAAGACACAAGAATATGATATACAGTGTAGGACTCAAACAAAGAATCGTATTCTTAAGGGAATGACATGTGGTCTGAAATGGAAAAACATTACGCCCAAGCCGAAGAGGTCTAGATAAAATACACAGGGCTGTCAACTCTCCCGGATAAACCGGGAGTCTCCAGATTTTGGACTGTGTCTCCCGGTCTCCAGATTAGAGTATCAAATCTCCCGGATAATCCCCGAAGCTGACCATTTCTTGTCTTGTGAGACTAGACTTTCACAACCATAAAATTCCAATTATTTCATGTTGTTTATGTTATTTTATATCGCTAACAAAATCAAAACGTTCCTCATGAACTGTTCTTGCAAGCAGTCCATTGTAATATAAGCGATAATCTGATTGGTCAGAAATAAACCAATCGCATCAAATGTTACAAAGCGAAAGACGTCTTTTCGCGCGCTTTTTGACGCGCTGTGACGTCATGTCCCTTCCCTATCAATTCTCCAGATTTGAATATCTTGGGGGTTGACAGCCCTGAATACATGTAACATAAAAATAATGTTTCTCTCTAAGGTACAGCATTTAAGCAATAGAAAATTTTTTCCGTGTTTACATAGCCTGATAGCAACAC